TATAGCAGGTACAAAGTAACAATTACGCAATTCTAAAACATGTCCAGATGGTAAAAGTAAATCGTAGTCGCCAACACACAATGCAGTAACCTTTGCTCCATTTCTGACGCGTACATTCACTTCACGTCTTGCCAACGTTCTATTTTTTCGTAGACCCTGCACATTTTCACAAATGTGTGAGGTACATCCGGTATCCAATACCCAAGATGAAGAAGACAAAACGTTAACTTCTATAACGTTATACCTGAAGATGAAGCTTCAGCAAGCCTCTTCTTCTTCAGATCCTCCAAGTAGAGATTGCAGTTCCAAAGCCAGTGTCCAACCTCGTGGCAGTAGTGGCATTCTGCCTTGTCGGGTTTGGACTTCGGCAACACAGCAACTTTTGCCTTCTTTGCCGATTTCTTGCCCTTTCCCTTTCCTCGTGGTCGCTTCCTGAAACTCTTTCCAGATTGCACAACAAGGATGCTCTTTTCAGTCTTAATCTTCTGCTCAACCGACACTAGCATCCCATGCAGCTCGGTTAAGCTTTTGTCCATACCATTCATATCATAGTTTAAGACAAAATGTCGAAAACTATCAGGAAGTGAATGGAGGACCATGTCCACCGCAAGTAGCAGCACCAGTCAAGGAAGTTCGCCCCATTGAGTTTTTCATGCTCAATAATCGATCGCAACGATGGTGACGGATCTGGTACATTACCAGTTCCGTTGTTCGCCATCTACAGAATTTCAGACAGTATAACAAGAAGATATAAATATATACATAAAACAAGCAAAGAACAATTCCAAGCATATCAACAGATAATATAGACAAAACACGATAAGAGCTCCCACTAAGATGATAATCCTCGATATCCTCTTATGGGTACTAGGATCCCAATACAAGAACATAATCCTTAAGTTTGCTTTGGCATTATCCCTTAAGATTATGCTAATCAGGTAGACAAACAATTTGTCAATCACATCCAATGTGATTCCTAGCAATCATGAGATCATAGTATCGCATACTATTGCATGTTGTATCTCATCTTGTACCATTGAGTCTAACACCCTTTTGATGACTCAATTAAGCTCAAACCATTCGAGTTCATGGAATGAAATAACTTGGTACACCTCGCGTAGGCGAAACCTATACCAAATTATCTCTTCCATCCCGCCTCACAAAGATAACCCAGTGCACCTCGCGTAGGTGAAACCTACACACGGATGGTCGACGAGCGAGGAGCCCCCTGCGGGGTGTGGGGCGGAGCCCCATCGAGCCAGACAATTTCGGTAACATAGTTACCCGGGAGAACACATATTCTGAAGTAAATATCGAGGTTTTCAACGTCGATATCGATGTTCGCAACATCGATATCGAGGTTCTCTAACATCGATATCGAGGTTCCCTAATATCGATATTCTTCAGATCTGGTGTCTCAAAATCTCGATGTTTGTCAATGTCGATATCGAGGTTCCCTAACATCGATATTCTTCAGATCTGGTATCTAAAGATCTCGATCGATATCGATGTTCTCTAACATCGGTATCGAGGTTTCTCAACATCGATATTCTTCAGATCTAGTATCTGAAGATCTCGATGTTTCCTCAACATCGATATCGAGATTCCAAAAATCGATATTTTTCCATATCTGAATCTAAAAAATATTGAGGATCCCTCAATATCGATATCGAGGTTAAGACATCGATATCGATGTTCTCAACATCGATATCGAGGTTTCAAAAACGTCGATATTCGTAAATCACGATCTGTTCATCCTGATTTTCAACTATGTGATCGATCCAATCGATTCACGAGCTTCTATATTCGATCTGATCATATCAACACTTTGATACAACCAAATCGAACCAAACAATTGATTGTTTTCACAAAAACATCAATTCGTTTCACAGATCCAAACAACACAGAGAGCACACATTTGATTCTCTTGTTTAAACCCGATTTTAAACTCATATCAAATATGAAACAGGTTTCAATTATACGCCAACCAGGCTCTGATACCACTGTTGGAGTTTTGGAGATCCCTAAACATGCGTTCATAACGGTTTCTAGGGTTCCAATTTGGGTTTCACGCAGCGAAATAGATTAAACGAAACCCAAACAACAGATCTTACATATAATGATAAATGTATCGATATACCAACCTGTTTTGATCCAAGGACCTGTCACAAACGCTGAAATCCAACGTTCTCTACAGCTAGTCTACACTCACGGGCTTGCGTCTGCTAGAACATGATCTGGAGGTCGGGAACGAAAACCGAGATGATCCCGGGAGAGAGAGAGGACGACCGAATTAAGAGAGAGAGAATTCGAAATTCTCTTCTTATTTTCTTAACCCTAAATTATGTTTCCTAAACATAATTATAAAGTGATTAGGTTTCATTAAACCAAATGGGCCTAATGAGCATTTACTTAACTATTAAGAGAAAACAAGCCCATTAACCACATTAATAAACATATGGGCCCATTGGACCACTTAAACCCATCCAATGGATTTCTAATCAGTTTCACAAACCGATCGTGGCCAGAGCACCATATCCATCAATATGCATGTATATGTATATCTATATACATTGTATATATGTGTATATATCTATTTTTATTATTTAATTATTTAATTATTTAATTATATTAATTTATTATTATTATTAATTTATTTATTATTTATTAATTTTAAATTTTATTCTTACGTGACGATGATATGACCATTATTATAAGAGAGTAGAATTTTCGTTTGTCTATGTGATGATTATTTGAAGATAGGGATTATATGGATAATAATTTAAAAGTATATGATTTGTTTTGAGATAAACCGATTGTAGATGTGTTTTTTAGCTAAAAACATTACAGGTATTTAACTAAAACGGGAAAAAATATAGATATTTTCCGGTGATTAGTCCAAAAATATATTATCTGTTACAATACTCAATGTGATGACATTTGACCCGTGGAAAATAAAAAATATTCTTGCGACTTTTTTTTATGACTCTGGTTACACTATGCGATTTGAAGAATTCTATAGAAATTGTGTTTGAAATGATGTGGAAAATTATAAGGATGAGAGTATAAAATAAAAGGGGAACTAAGTCCCTTGTTATAATGACCATTAATTTACAAAGGCACATGTGAATATATAGACTAAGTGAACCAACGTCTATTTGAATGAAAAAAGGGAAGAATATAAAAATAAAATATTTACAAAGTGGGATAAGGAAGAAATCATTTAGGAGTATCTTCTAAACGTCGCATGATTGATGAGTGAATGCTGACCGAGATTGATTGATGATTTACTCAACCTTTCCTTATTTGTTTAGTTGATAATGTGCCAAGATTGAGGAGCCACATCATAAGGAAAGCATTCATCTTTCACGTTGAATGTGTGCATGGATTTGCATGACAAATGTTTCTTCTCTTTGACATCTTCTTTTGCATTCTTTGTCTTCAACACGATTAACGTGCTATTGATTTATGATTTTATATATTTGGACCAAAAATGATTTTTTTTACGTCTTTTCATCAAGGGATGATGAATATCTCTAAATTAACCAACAAACGTGATCTAGAAAGAGTTTTATTTCAAAATCATTAATTTGTATGATATGACTCTAAACATACCTAAATGTATAATATATATTTAGGTATGCTTTGAGTCATATGTTAAAAATTATAATTTTGAAATTGATTTTTTCTACATAATATTTTTTGGTTAATTCGAAGATATCAATCAGTCCTAAACTAAATGGCGACTTTTTGAACACTTTTTGAAAAATATAAAGTTAAATAAATCTCACATAAATTGCAATGTATCATCAAAGCCATAAGAAAATCTCACTGAACAAGTTTTGGCTTATAACACGACAAACGCGTATCTTTATCATTATTGTCTTTATTGGTATGCCGTTTTTGTTATTATTTTTTGGACATTTTTTTCAATATGTTAGGATTTTTATTTTGAAACTGAACTTATTTTTTTTTAAAATATACTACTTTAATATGACTTGTTTGCCACTTGTTCCAACTTGAACAAAAAATATCATTTTAGTTGAGCGATAAAATACACACAAAAATGTTTAGGTTTGCATTTCATTTTGTGACTGCCCTATTACTTCCTGCAACCCATCAGTTGCATATGTTCTTCTTCTTTGAACAACTTCGTTTTTTCCCTATATATACTCGGTATGCGATTCATTCTCGGCCGACCTACACATCGACCATGTATATTAGGGGGTGACTTTCATCTCTTCAATATGGTCAGAAAGATTCCACTTATACATATTAGAAAATCGGATATACACTTCTCTCATGTCATTCTTATATAGTAGGTTGAGTGATATTTCATTAAGTTGTCCTTTTCACCATATTCATGACAAGCCCTTATTGCATGGGTATATGAATATATATTTATCAACATGTCAAACCTTGCATTCATAAGATTAGGTCAACAAAATAGGATTTTCCATTGTAGTCGGTGACTTTGTATTCTTGTCAATTTCGATTTATCTCAAGCACGATAAACTTTTTCGATGTTCTATAACGCCGATACAATTTTTTCTCCACGATTGGTGTTAGCTCTTTTTTAGTAAAATTCAATTCCCATCATATCGAATAGAAATAGATATCTCATAATCCTGTTAAAAAAATAACATAATTTCATAACTCTACAACTTTATTTTGACTAATTTAGACTATGTTACGTCTATCCGGGAAAAACCAACATTTCGTTTTCCATTACAATAATCGCTATAAAAACTCTCAAAATCTTTAAGTACTGCAAAAAATAGGTTGAAACTCCATTAATAGTTTTCTAACATAATTCGTTAATAAAAAATGCATTGAAAATTTTAGACATTGAATCTTTCAGTTTAAAATTCTAAAATTGTAAATATCGCATAATAATAAATAAAAATAAATGGGTATAACTCTTAATATATATACGCAGACGATTTTGGCTTCAAATAAATAGAAAATCAGAGCAAAAATCCATATGGAGCTTGATAGCAGAGTTTTAACGGCGGAATCTATAGTTTGAGTAAGGGAATGGAAATCGTAATCAGCTACAAAGTTATTCATATGTAAACACGGGAGACCTTAGCTTAAATAACTTGGTTCAGGTTGTTAGTGATGATTCACACAATCATGATGGCATAACTCTTATTACCAATGCATATAATATATTTTGTTCTTTGGCTCCATGCGCAGGAAGGATTCCTCCATCTGGTTTTGTAAAGTTGACACAACGTCACCATCCATTCATGTCAGGAAAGACATCACACCACAGAAACCTGCTTTCCTTTTTCTAACCTTCTGCGATGTGTTACCGGGAAACCTCAACTGGGGGTGTTTATACATAAAACATTTCTTTCGATCCTTTGTACATACTATGCACCACCTGTATGTAAAATTATAAAATCACATATTACCAGATATCGGCTGCTTTGAGGTTGTCAGAGTCCTGACACTGAAACCTAAGCGCCTCCTCCTCCCCCTTTGTTCGTCCAACACAAAACTTTCTCTGGCTTTGTTTCCAATGGATCAGAGAGGAAGATGACTGTAATGATGTGTAATTTAGTCGGTGTGGAGGTGGAATTTACGCTTGCAGCATCTATCGATGTACCAAGTGGCGTGTTTCTGAAGGCCCATTCCGATGAGGATTTTGAGGCTTGTGAGCATCACATATGTTACACCTGATAATACTAGTATCCATACTATCTTCACTGGAAGTTGGCTGTACGGTATGTGTGCTGCATATACTGGTGTCAATACACGTATTACCTGTCATGCCCAAAAATATTTCGATTTAAATCTCTGATCTGATGGAAGGATGAACTATTGAAACTGTGTATCACGAGAGATAATCAAAGGTTTTTCACGTTTTGAAGAAAGAAAAAAGGGGAAAGGATAAAATACCACACAAGCTGGGGCGAAGGGAACAAAAGTGAGAACCGTCTTCCTGTCTCTGCTCTGAATGTTCAATGTCTGAGAAAGATTACCAGTCGAGAATAATTTCAGTTTTACACAAAATTATGGGTTGGGGAGCCGAAACTGGGAATGACGATATAGCCAACATACCTGCTGGCATAGGGCTTCAAGGAACTCAGAGTAAGCAATAGGCTTGATGTCATTGAACTTGGCAAGAAATGAATGTTTGATGATATCTATTAGCATTTCGCACAAGAAGACCAAAGAAACATTCTGCAGAGTCCAAGTAGCAGTCAATATATGATCAAACCTGAAGAGTGTCCGAAGTGAATTACAGCTATCAGAAGTATATATAGGCTTACATAAAGAAAGCTTCCAAACCATGGACCCTCAGCCTCGAGAATATTTTGAGCCAAAACAGACACCAGGAATGTCGACAGTT